CTAATACACTTATACTTAGTGCATAGTATAGCGTAAGTACATATATTATATATATATGAGCTATATTCGATACGGTATTACCTAATATAATACACTTATACTTAGTGCATAATATAGCGTAAGTACATATATTATATATATAAGCTATATTCGACACAGTATTACCTAATACACTTATACTTAGTGCATAGTATAGCGTAAGTACATATATTATATATATATAAGCTATATTCGATACGGTATTACCTAATACACTTATACTTAGTGCATAATATAGCGTAAGTACATATATTATATATATATATATATATATATATAAGCTATATTCGATACGGTATTACCTAATACACTTATACTTAGTGCATAATATAGCGTAAGTACATATATTATATATATATAAGCTATATTCGATACGCTATTACCTAATACACTTATACTTAGTGCATAATATAGCGTAAGTACATATATTATATATATATGAGCTATATTCGATACGCTATTACCTAATACACTTATACTTAGTGCATAATATAGCGTAAGTATATATATATTATATATCTAGACACACACGCCCACTTCGTAGTACTATTCATCCCTTGTATTACAAAAGTATTAACGACTTACATTTATATTATTTACATTGTAAATACAAAAGTGATTTTTAATTTTGACCATATAGAGACCAACTTTGGTCGCTAACTGTAAATGAATTTAGTTTAGCGACCAAAGTTGGTCACTAACTGTACATGAATTAAATTTAGCGACCAAATTTGGTCATTAAATTTTAATCAGATTTATTTATATTTTATAAAATATTTAAATAAATAATAAAAATTATTAAATGTTAGAACTGGGTCCCACCTTGGCGACCAACATTGGTCTCTATTTCATTAAGCGACCAACTTTGGTCGCTAACTTTTGAATTATATTTATTTATATTTTATAATTTATTTTAAATAAATATATATTTATTAAAATATAATAACTGGATCCCACTTTAGCGACCAATGTTGGTCGCTATCAACTTATCCTTCAGTTAGCGACCAACTTTGGTCGCAAGTTTTAAATTATATATATTTATATTTTATAAGTTTTATAAAATAATAATAAAATTATTAAAAAAATTTATGTGGGTCCCACTTTAGCAACCAACATTGGTCGCTAATATCAGTATATCTTTGACCAAGCAAGTCTGACCAGTCCAGTCAACAGTTTGACTAAATTTGCGGCTAAATAGCGACCAACTTTGGTCGCTAAAGTATTTCAAATATTTTTTTTATTATTTTCGGCAGTTTGGCGACCAACTTTGGTCGCTTTTTTTGACAGACCAAATTTGGTCGCTAATCTTTGGTCGCTTTTTACAGGAATTCTAGTAGTGAGGATAGAATGTACGCAGACCTTACACCTGCCCCCGAGGGGATAAAGAGGCTGTTTTCGGGAGACCCTCGGCTCAGAGACAATAGATCTGTGACAATAAAACCCGAAAAATAATATCAGCAACGTGAGAGACAACAAATAAATGGAAAAGCAATAACACAAATATTATGCAAAAGTGTGAAAACACAACATAAATCGCTAGCAGGGCTAGACGAAACACTATCATACTCGTCGGTACAAAGAGGGAAACCGGGACAAAGGGGAAAATCGCTCGACTACCCTTAACCTACAACCCTAATGCTCGACCTCCACATCTTCCTATCAAGAGCCATGTCCTCGAAAATTTGGAGCCGCGCCATGTCCTGTATGATCACCTCGGCCCAATACTTCTTAGGCAACCCTCTACCTCTTCTCGTACCTGCCAAAGCCAACCGCTCACCCCTCCTAACCGGGGGATCTAGGCTTCTCCTCTGCACGTGTCCGAACCATCTAAGACGCACTTCCCGCATCTTGTCACCCACCGGAGCCACGCCCACCCTCTCCCGAATATCTTCATTCCTAATCTTATCCAGCCTAGCGTGCCCACACATCCATCTCAACATCCTTTTTCGTCTTATGATGGCGCGATAGAAAATAGATATCTCCTTTGTTTAGGAAAAGTTCACATCATAATTGCTTAATGATAGTGATAATTAAACTATAATTAGCCAAACAAAAGTTTGTATTAAAGGCATTGCAAGTTGGCAAGGCAATGAGGCATATGACAGGATTTTGTTAGGTCCCATTGAACAAGGCAAAGACAATAATAGTACGACCAATGCAGTGTGTTTTTGCTTTGTCTCACATGATTATTGTGTTCACGCTTACTATGGGCAAAAATCTGCATACGGCTATAAAGAGAATGTGAAGTTGACATAATCGGAAAGTCTCCATTCAAAGTTTTTTATATCCCAGACTTACTGATCCGACTAATTTGAATTCGTGATAGGTAGACTCATATTAAGGGGTAAAATGCTCACTATCAATAAATTATTAATATTCTCAAAGGCTCAAGCCCAAAATTTTAACTATTTTCAACTATCCACTACAGCTCTCTGTGTGGTCTATTCAAAGTGTTGGATTATGAACAAAGAAAGAAAGAAATGCCAGTGGACAGCATGGGGTATTTGCCAGACAAGGAGTTAAGGAAGAATAGAAAGAGGTCGACTTTGGAACCTTGACTATGCTTTTCTTGCCTAACAAGATCTGGCTCTCTTTAAGCAATTAGCTTTCTCTTTAACTCCTTGCCACGTTAAATAATAGTATACAATTATCACATAATAATAATAACAATAATAATAATAATAATAATAATAATAATAATAATAATAAAAAATTAATATCATTTAGAGTCTGTTTAAAAACTCATGTCTAATTACGTATAATTACTATGTTAGTAATTATACACCCTGATAATTACAAAGTATAGTAATCATTATATCCAATTACACACCAACTCAATTCCTATGCACTTTCCAAAAATGTTAAGAATAAAACAATCGCATATCCCTTAAGTTGCAGCAGACATGAATGCTCTATGTCATTCAAGCTCTTAATAGAATAAAAAGGGAAAGCCTAAAAATTACAAAAAGGAAATATCATGTTGATACATTTTGATTGGTATAACCACCTCGATTACTTTTCTATGACAAACACTAACGGAAAAAAAAAAAAGAAAGAACAAGAAGCATAATGATTTATTGTTATCTGATCTCACACAATCATTGCTTAAAATAACCTAACCATTTTCGTACTTTCCCACCAAAAAGATAGATTTAAGTTATATACTCTTCTAAGTTAACTTTATATATAGTATGTTTTTATTTTTTTATAAAGATAGTGTTCAAATCAGCTTGCACGCATCTTGATTATTCAACTGGATACATATTTTTTATCAACACATGTATCAGGTATTTCTCGCCCATCAAAACTTGGGAATGAAAAGAAATCATTCACGTGATGTGTTTTTTTATCTTTGCTGGAAATTGATATAAAAGATTGTTATTTTATATTCGGAAAAGGGTCAAATATATCTCTTTACTATCAAAAATTGTTTAAATCTACCCTCCATTATACTATCCATTTTAAAATTATCCTTGCCGTTATACTTTTAGATAAAAAAGGCCCTGGGTCTAATGGCTGAGACACGTGGCATGCTAGTAAAGTGTAAAACCCAACCCAATTAAAATACTCGGTCCTTTAAAAGGTTTTAACCCATGTACCCGACCCAAAATCCTTCACTTAAAATCAGTTTCACCATCTTTCACCCGAACTTATCGCCGTCGACCGTTCTCAGCCGCCTTAGTATACCTCCACCTTCGGATAGATATTTAAGTATATTGACTAATCACCTGGATGTTTGGGTTTAGAATCTTGAATTCTCAGTTAGAATTAGCAGTGACATACATCACACTAGGCAAGTTTTTTACCGCCACCACCACCATGGCTGCTTTCTAAGAACTTGGGAAGTTCAAAAACTTCAGCTTTAGTAATTAATGAACAAAGTTCTACGATTCTAACCTTTTTGTCCCCAAATGGGTTTGCACTTTTGCATCAATTTTATCCAACCCATTCTTCACAATCAATGACTACATTCAACCACAATTTTTAATTTTCAATTTAATCAGATTATAATACAAAGAAACCACAACATAGATTTTTCAAATACTAATGAACACTAATTCCATATTTTCAAGACCCAAAACATTGAGTCCAGCAGACTTGAGAACTTGGATATCTCCTTGTTATCAAAAGCTTACAAGTGTACTTTGTTCTTATTGAATTCTCTGTTCACTTTTTGAAACAAAAGAAATCGCACAAACTCCAATATGCACCAGACGGACTCGAATTTCACCCATAGCTTCTAATCAACTTTATTAATTTTTATTATTTGCAAAGAAGGAGATGACTTAAATGGCTAATGGGTCGTAGAGGCTTCATTTGTCATAATTATTGTATATGGAATTATTTTTCCACCGTCTTCGCCGGTGAAGGAAATAGTTAAAAAGTAAAGTAAAGGGGATAAAAGAACTCACTGTTTGAACAAGAAAGGATGAAGGGCGGGTCGGGTAGGTGAGCTTGACCGAGGTAGATTAAATTGGGCATGAATCTTTTAATATGGAACTGACACGTGGCTCTCCGTTAAAAATAAGGGTAAATTTGTTTCATAGTATAACGGTAGAGTTTGAAATGACCAAATAATATAACGGAGGGTAGATTTAAATAATTTTCGATAGTAAGGGAATATATTTAGCCCTTTTCCGTTTTATATTTCAGATGTCCACGTCAGACTTGCTATGAAAAGTTAATTACATACTGTTGTAGGTTGAATCTAATCCTTAAACGTAGAAACTTTATGCACCATCAATTCAAAATATTTAAGCTTAAATTAAGTATCCAAATCCTGATTAAAAAATAAAAAGTGTCCACTCTCTAATGGTTCTAATCCAATTAATTAAATCTTGTGACATACAACCACCCAAATTAGTACACTATTTAAAACCAATTCTAGACAGATGGGACCATCATGTCCTCCTTGAGGAAGACCACAAATAACCCATTAGGTCCAACACTTAATCCCCACATAAAAGTCCAACCTTTGGATACACAAAGTACAACTCACGAATGCAACAGCTCTACCTTTTGTTCACTGTTTATATACACGTTTTCCGTTGGATAACGACACAACATGAAATGAAATGTTGACGGCGTCACGTCCTTCTATAAATTCCTCAACACTTGCCACGAGCTGTTACCTCCCTCCGGCTCCATTCTATATTTACATATATTTCTTAGATTTTTCTGCTTCCCTTTGCTATATGTTAACGTAAAAACGGAAGCTGTGAATCTGAAATTTCCCGTTTTCAACTGCTTCAGAATCTCCACATTGATCGTCGGCGTAAGATTTGCCGTATTTCTACTAAAAATTAATGCCAGGGATTCTTCGCTCTTCTCTTTTATTTGATTTGATTTGATTTGATATCTCTGGGGATTTGCTTAATGATTTTCCCGTCTATTTTCTCTTAATTATTTGATCCAAATATGTAACAAGAACAGAGCAAAGCAGATTATTGCTCTGGAAACCATTTCACCAGTGGGTTTCAGCTGATTATCAACTCCAGTAGTCGTTTGAGGTATGAAATTTTTCTGTTTCTCATATTTCTTCTTTTTTTAATTAATGTATTCGATTCGATTTTTTTCAAGTCTTCCCAAGTTACATATATAATATTAAAAAATGAATAAGAAAAATTTTCGACTAGTGCGCACTAATTTATCATATTCTTTAATTTGCGCACTAGTGAGATATTGTTTACTCCGGCTTAATGGTCTCTTTGTTTTACCAAATGGAGATCAATGTGATATTCTCAACTAAGACTCAGGTATGTTATCCATAATAAAAAAAAGTTCAACTAATTAATTTCCATATGGTAATTTTTGAATATTAAGCTTTAGTGTTGTTACTTCAAAAGTTGGAGTGTTGGACTAGTGTTTTAAAAGGCAAGGGCGTGAGTCGGGACGTTTTACTTAATATGTGGGGACATAAGCCCCATGAATCTTTAATTTTTTAATTTATGAATTAATAATATAGCAATATAATACAATAAAATATAAATGATACATTATAAGTTCAAGAAAACTAAAAAGAATTAATGAAACTCATATAAAATAAAATATTTAGCATGTTTTAAAAGTATAAACAATAGTACAATATTGTTAAAGTTACTATGAAATATAAATTAACTACAACCTCTTTACTTTCAAACAATTAAAATTAAAATATCTTGAAAAATATTACTTCTGCATATTTTGTCTCTTTAAAAGTAAATACTCAATAAATTTTATCAACATTGTAATTTAAAATATTACTCCTTCATGAGTAAATATAAAATAATTTTTAAATAGTAAAATAAGAAATATATGATAATTTTGAGAGACAGAGAACTAAAATGTGAAGATCTATCAAGTAAAGATATAAATTTTATTTATCTATTTTTAAAAGAAATATTCAAATGATATTCACCTTCACGATATTCTCAATTAGTAAATATGCAATACTATAGTTCGTTATTTGAGTTATTCACAATTTTTATATTCCTATAGATAAAAAGAACTTTAATTATTCATTTGTTAAAGAATTTTGAGAGTCAATAGTGTAAATTAGTGAATTCAACACATGATTTGCAGAGGAACTGTTAGGCGTGTTCTCAGCGTTGAATGTTAGACGTGTTTAGGGCACACAATTGGGCGTTTGGGGGCGTAAGCCTCATAGAACTAAGCCTCACACATTGAGTCTCGAAGCATTTTGATAGTGCACCGCCCTAGGGCGAGTCCCAAAAAAAGCCTTGTAAAACACTGATCTTGAACCGCCAAATTATCTTATGTGTTTGTTTTGGGTTTGATGGTTTTGTTAACGTGTTACTTAGTGGAATAGTATAGCAGGAATTTTTTCGTTTTTCTAGTCGATATACATAAATATTTTGTTATGATTAGGTTAATCGGTGTCTACAAAGAGTAGGGAATTGTTAAATAGTTTGTCCATTGAATGGCCGCTTTCAGAGGTCGACAACTGCTGGTTCATCTGTAAAGCGATTGGTCATTCATTCTCCAGACCAGAATTCCCATCTTTCCCATTCCAACTTCTACTCTGCAGAGCTGCTGCCATATATATTCCTTTTCTCTCTCTCTCTCTCTCTCTCTCTTGTCTCTACTTGCTTTAGTTTCTCTCTCCATATTGATTGATATATGTATGTATTAGTGTACGTACGTATACATTGAGTATGGAAAGGAAAATATATAAAAGGGGCTTATTGTAATGAAGAATGACGACGATCATGAATATGTGTCAGAAACTTCCGTTCTAGTCTCTACTGTCTACTCTCTCCTTCCCAAGTTGTGTGGCAGGCATGGAATTTTAAAATAATATTATTTTAAAAAAAATTATGATATAAAACTAATTACTATATATTTTTTTATAATTATAAATCATCTCATTTTGAGACGATGAAAATTTTAAAGTTATATCAAATAAAAAATTATAATATATTATTTTTAGGATAGACTAAAAATGAAAATATAACACATAAGTCTTTTGATTTTGAGCATTCAATACATAAGTTGCCACCTAAATTTTTCCACACACGTTTAAGAGGCAACTAATATTTTATTTTTCCAATTAAGTTTTCTCTACGTACTAACAGAGTAAAAGTTTTACGTAAAAGATTTTTAAAATTTTGAACATGGGTCAGTAAAAAGATTATCCTTTGATTTGGAAGATGATTTCAGTAAACTTACCTTTTAATATATGTCCAATTTATTGTCCTTTCTCTTTAGTTTCCACCCAAATGTCAATATTGCCATTTTTGAACAAGTCAACGTACGTAGTGGTCCAAATTTTCAAAAATGTTTTCCACCCAAATGTCAATGAAGTGGGATAGCAGATTAATTACCAACTTGTAGAATTATTTTTTAGTTCACATTTTAACCTAAAACTTCAACGGATCAATTTGAATTTTCTTTATCCAGCTTTTCTTTATTAGGAAATAATATCATTTGCTATGAATGTTTTTACCTTAAAAGATTGTGAGTGAAAATAAATGCATATCCTCCCAATATCTCGTTGTAATATTCAAAAGCATTACTCTATATTGTCATTAAAGGAAAGTTTATTATCTGAACTGATCTTGTCAGCATAACACACAAAATGAATATCACAAAATCAGTGTTATATAATGATTGGTTATTTATGTTTGATGATTCGTTAGTATTTTTCATTTGCAGTTAGAAGAAGAGAGGAGAATAACTTACTCCTATATAGAGATGGAGTAGAAGAGAGGAACAAATTAAAAGAAAAGAGAAAATGTTGACATGTATCACATGTAAGCAAAAGGTGGAAGATGATGGTGGAGAAGAAGGTCCCAATACTAAAGATTCTGTCAAAAGTCTGACGGCTCAGGTTCTACTCATCCTACATATCTTGAGGACAATCAAACAGTTATATATATATATCACTCATGTTTTAGACAAGACAAGTGCTGTTTCTGTATTAAGCTATGATTCTTTTGGGGGATAATAGTAGTGTTTGGACCAGTTTACACACACTTCGACTATCCATATACTTGCTATCTAAGTACTTAGTGAATTTTCCCACTAAAGCTTAAGCATATTGAAGAAATCACCTAACGTTTTTGTCTCTACTGAGATCTGATATTTCTTGTGCATCATCTTATTAAGAACCCATTTTACTCATTGTGTACAGCTTGAGAATTACTACTCTATATCTTATTATGAACATTTGATTTTAATCATTTGCAGATAAAGGATATAGCATTGAAAGTCTCGGGTGCTTATAGATGCAAGTCAAGTACGCCCACAAGCAGTTACAAGAAAGGGCATAGACCATATCCGTATCCATATCCATATCCAGATTTTGATGCAATCTCAGAGGGAGTTTGTTACCATTACCAAACAGGGAGTTCAAATTCAACTCCAGCTTGGGATTTTACGAGTACCGGTCATCTCCAAACACCAGCTAGACCTGATTCAAGATTAGCCGGAGAATTAAGTGGTGATGTGGTGCTAGAAGAAGAGGATGCTAAAGAGTGGACAGCACATGTGGAGCCTGGCATTCAGATTACTTTTGTTTCTCTCCCTCGTGGTGGAAATGATCTTAAAAGAATCCGCTTTAGGTATCTATTCGTCATCTCTCGCTCCCTCCTTTTCATTTTTTATGGTAGCATTTGACTGAGTGCGGAAGTTAAGAAAGAACGAAAGAGTCCTGACACATATCGAAAGTATCATTAGAACTTGTGGCCTTAAACATTTCTATAGTTATAAGAGCATGTCGTTAAAAGTAAAATGAGAAGTTTAAAGTGAAATAGTTTCCGAATTTGGATATGTATCGTTCTTTTTTTAAATGGAGTAAGAAGGAAAGAGTATCACATAAATGGAAAAGAGGAAGTATCAAAGAGTATGGGAAACATGATATGTAAACATTTTTATTTGCATGATGCTAATAAATGGGTAATGAAGATTGATATAACTAATCCCAACTAGCTTCGTATTGAGGCATAGTTGTTATTTTTTGTTAAATGATTATTTTATCATTTAGACGTTAATTTGACTCGTTGTTTTAATTTGAAGTCGTGACATGTTCAACAAATGGCAAGCTCAAAGATGGTGGGGTGAGAATTTTGACAGGATTATGGAGCTTTATAATGTTCAGAGATTCAATAAGCAAGCTCTTAGCACTACCTCACAGTCTGAAGATGGGGTATGCCAGCTTCACCTTCTTGCAATTTATTTACTTAACTGCAGCATTGACCTCAATGTTAATCTTGATCATCCATTATAATAAGTCCATGCAGATTAGTTCAAATTATGTTCATGAACAGCCACAGTACATCAATGCTTCTACATTCCTAGTATAAAACTTATGTTGCTCGGCTCCTCCAAAAATGTCGTCATACCCGTGTCACGTCCTCCAAAGATGTATTATTTTTGGAAAATCCGACACCGGTGCAGCAGCATGTTTTGGAAGATTAGAGCAACATAGCATAAAACCACTTAAGGCGAATATAACTTGAGTTGTTCAACTTGTATAAGAATATGATCACTAGCTGAAGTAGCGAGCCAAGTACCTCCATTACTTTGTTAATTAGCCACTCAGATTTGGAATAATTATCAACGCAACATGAAGCAAGCACAAGTTAATGAAATTTAAGGTCTTTTTATGCAGAGAGATTCAAATTATTCAAGGCTTGGTTCTGCAAGGGAAAGCCAACAATATAACGGCGGATCAAATGCTTATGCCTCTGGTTTCACCAAGGGTAGTGAGATGTCATCTATGGAGGCGTCAAGGACGACAACTTCCTCTAGGGACGAGGCTTCAATTTCTGTAAGTAATGCTAGTGACATGGAGCCAGAATGGATAGAACAAGATGAACCTGGAGTTTATATAACCATCAGACAATTAGCTGATGGTACTAGAGAGCTAAGTCGTGTCAGATTCAGGTATTTCAAATTCTGCTGTGCCATATTCGTTCTCCTGCCACATAAGATGAAGCATAAGAATCTGGTGTAAACTGTAAACATTTCTGTGATTAGTCCTTTCTGCTACGGTGCTACCTAATAAAAAAAGACATCAAATGAGAACCACCTCTTTATATCTACGTTTGTTTTTATAAATCTGTTTCATGCTTTCCTCATAATATATTTTACAATGCATCAACTTTGCTAAGTTGGTTTTCATTTCACTTTCCTTTTTTTCCCCTTTTAAGTGAATAATGATCTTCACTTTACTTTGGGATATTTTTCCATTTGTAGTATGTTGGTACGACATAAATCATTTCTGCTACTCCTTTTTCAAAGAGTCTGGACAAGTTTGCATGTAATGGATCATCTTTTAGGATTTCTCAAAGGATACTTACTCAAATTTGTGCTGAACCTAGATATGTGTCTTTGCAATTTCAATTGATATTTTTCTAACTTTTTTCTTCAAATACTCAGGAGTGAAAAATTTGGGGAGGAGGACGCGAAGCAGTGGTTGGAGCAGAACTGGGAGAGAGTACGAGCTCAATACCTTTAGATCGCGATTTCCATATTACATTGTCAGCATTGTCCACAACATCTCAGGATAATCAAAATGGAATACTTTGCCATCCTGGAAGCAAAGTTAAAATCACCTTCCAATTAAATTGTGGTGGCAAAAGAGATTAAACAAGGTTCCTACTGAATGTATATAGTGTCCACTGGGGAATGGCTTTGTTCCACAGGGCTTCAAGAATTTTCGTGGCATTTCTTGATCTTTTATTATACATGACTTTGCCATACCCATTTCTTCCTTGTTTTGCCTTTCAGTTTTTTCAATTTAGGCCTTGATGGATATGCTGATTTTTTTTTCTTGGAATTGTTGATGGATGTTTGAATCTGTTACCAAGTCTCGCTTTCCTTTGCAACTTCTAGTGGAAAGGCTATGTGGAGCAAACATTCATATAACAACTAAACCATATTGTGCACAAGTCCACAATATCACCAAAACAAAACAAACTGAAAAGGATGAGAAATCTTCATCCTACAACTTTCCTTCAATGGCTTCTTCGAGGAAGAATATCTTGTGAATGGTCAAGGAACAAGTTAGCTGTTGTACCCTTCGGGGTTGCCCAGTTGGTAGGGAGGGTCGTCATTCATATGGATGACCTGGGATAGAATCCCCCCTCAATGCCTTCTGGGGTGAACCTGTCGTACAGCACTTGCCTAGTACAGTTTACATCCCCTCTTTGGTTTGCAAGCTATTACACAGGGGAGGTTTACCCAGTGCGTACAAAGTGCTCACCCGAAGGGCAGAGACTGTGGCAGCAATTCTAGCGGGAGTTTCCCCCTCTTACAAAAAAAAAAAAAAGTTAGCTGTTGTACCTTCTCTGACTTTCTCTTTACTTGTTCTTTCAACATTTTCAACTATTATATGCCATGTTTCCCTTTGAATCCAATAGAATACAATACTCAGAGCTTTTCTCTCCTTTGTTTTTACATTGGTAGCGGAGGTTCGTGCCTATTGGAGTATATTATCATCCAATTGACGAGGTTTATTTATCTCAAATTGTCATTATTCGATATGGAGAATCAAATTTTTTACCCACAGAGCTTCAAGCTAAATAGTGAGATTACAAGCATCAAAGCTATTAAAATCATAGAATGACCACCACCTACATACATCAAAATAATCAGTATAACTATTAATCACGTACCCCATTGCAGATCAACACTTTAGAAATCTCAACAAAAGTTTATTTCACAACATATTTATTAGTCGACGGACGAAAAGCATGGTTTATTCTGTTTAACATTCCACTATACTTGATATTACAACATCGAAAGTTGCAGCACATTTCACCATGAGATGAAATACTCGGGCATATGCTCAAAATGACAACCCGGGAGCACCGACCCTATCGCGAGGAATCAGCCGCAGTTCAGAGCCATGTTTAAGAAAGACATTACCTGAAAAGCAATTTGAGTTGAAAAGAAAAATTATAACACCAGATATAACCAGATTGGGTGCAGAAAGGTGAACAGCATCGGCGAATAAGATTACTTAATCCCGTCAGGATTAAAAAACAAACTCTCCGGGTTACGACAGCTAAGGAGAAAGACGTCAAGAAGTTCCACTTTACGAGTGCATGCAATAGTAATTAAAGATAATATGCACTGCACTGTTAAAAGAATGTAAACATGGAGACAGCCAAGTAAGCAAATAAGAACGTTGGTCTGAAACACAAGTAAGCAATAGGCCTTCAAGAAGCAAATTACTTGGTAATTAGGCAGGAATGGATAACACGTCAGAAGTAGAGTTTTTCTCAGCAATTGCCAAATACACTTGTGACCACTTATCAGTTACTCCCAAGATCTCCAGTCTTGGCTTTAGGGACACAAACAAACAACTTCATCGAAATATCCAAAAGGGAAAAGAAAAAAGAAAGCTAAAACAGACCCCTATTAATATAAATGCAAACACAGAACATTGCCAGAGTTTAGAAGAATCTCTTTTGAAAAACTCGGGCATAGAATTATTCTATATGACAACATGAACTCAGATTTCTCTTGCACTTGTAATATCCACAAAATTCTATACACAATATCTGAATCCTACACAGATCAGAATTTATACAACATTTTCTCCTTACTTCACCACCTTTGAAAGAAGAGTGAAGCATGAAAAGGCATTGTAAGAGTAATGTTTCTTCTTAGTTGGCAAGACTGCATATCCTGACCTATATTTCCTAAATGCACAATAACATTTTCGAGGTGTAGTGGCACGACATAGGGATCGTAGGTGGCAGGAAGGACTAGAAATAGAAAGGTCTGATTTTGCTTCTGAAAGTGTTTAGAGAAAGAGGCTTGACGTCAAATTGCTCATATCAAAGTTATAGGATTGACTTGGTGGGAAAAAATTGCAGGATTAAAGAACTTTACCGGACAGTAAAAGTTCTGCAAAGGATTGCAAGACTTGAGGCACTCAGACTACGAAGCTTAGCAACATAAAGGGAGAAACAAAAGTCTTTTCCACCAATATATGCACCGAAAAGTCTCACCAACTTATGAACTACGGAAGTCAAAAAGTCAAACTTTCCAAATGGATCCAGGTTTCATCAATCACCAAGCCAAAATCAATTCAAAAAGTAAGGTCACTTACAAATGAAGGACGGAGCCTCTTGGTATATATTACAAAAAGAAAAAGAAAAAAGTATTTTTCTAGCACGAAGTGCTGCATTTAAGGTCTAATATGCATATCCTTGCAGATCAGAACCCTTTCCTTTTTTCTTCTATATCTTTAGGTCAGTCTCACAACAGACATAGAATTAGGTATAAATTCAAGTTAACAGGCATGAAGCTCACTTAGATAATTCCCATAGAACAGGTAAAGAGTTTGCAAAGTACTCGTACCAACAAATCATAATCTAAGAGGGTTTCAATTACACTGAATGAGGTCAGGGACCATAGTTCACGCAGAAGTATAAACCAACTGCGAAGGATGGTCCTGCACATCACTGTCATGGTTGATACATTAGTAGCCTCCTAATACATACTGATCGTATGCATACCCAGAAGATGGATGAGTGCAGTATTGAGGAAAATGAGTGGATTCATTTTAAATTCCAAGTACGAGAACCTTGAGCCAGGATATTCAAGAAAAAGAAAATAACTCTCAGGCGGTTCACACACGAATAAAAGATCGAGGAGAAGATGTTGGGAGCTGGCAAGGTAAATATGCAACATGGAGAGCGACAAGCAAGCTTGCTCAGTTTGAAGATGCTTTCTATGTCCCATTTTATATGATGGTATTTAATTGGATAAAAAGTTTAAAATGATTTTTTTAAACAGATGGGACAAGAAGTTTAAAATGTTAATTTCAATTAAATACTAGTATAGTCGTAAAAGAAGATACTATGGTTGAAACTTATCCTGTTGAAGAAAACAATGTGTCAGTTTATTCTAGCACTTCTAAAATTATATACTGTAATATTGAAAAGAAAAGGAACGCCAAACTATTTGAATTAGAATTGCATGCTTTAAGTCTTTGACAAAAAGCTTATTCTAGCACTTCTCATTATAAACTTAGCTTATTGGAATTGTTATTGACTATTGATTCTTGACTACTTTCAATTCTTTGTTACTCTTCATCAACACTGGTAGGCAACTTCGTAACAACTCTACTTATCCACACCCAAAAAAATGCTATGTTTGTAACAACTCATTTACTGTCATAAACTTCTTTAAATTATTCACAACTCCCAATTCCTAGATTATGTGACCTTTTTTAGTGCACTAGATTTCTCACACGCGTAGGGAATAAGTTATTCACAACTCCCAATTCCCAGATTGTTTATCATTCATAAAACAAATAAGCATTACAAGCCAAGTAACATACAGGAGGTAACTGTAAAATATTCAATGCAAAGTGTAAACTTACCAGCACTTTGCTGTGGATTAATCCCCACTCCATCTGCAAAATAAGATAAAAAGGAAAGAAAAATAGAGTCAAAACATTGCTTACATTCAGTAAAAACTCATGCCTTTTCTTATAATACTAGCAATAAGTGAAAAACAAATTCCAAATTGTTTTTGCTCCCAAGTTCTCATGAGACTAATGAACAGAATATCTTAGAAAAACAAAAAAAGAAAAAAAAATACAAGAGATACTTTTCTTATAATGGTGGTGTCTCGTCAGCTACCTCCACCAAATACTGGATAACTCTGTTCACAAAAATTAGAAAGATGGGAAGAAATAACCTAATGTATTTCTTTCCACTGAAATTTGAACCTGACACCTAATAGTACTCTACCAACTTCATTGGCAGTAGGCTACACTTTGGGTGCTAAAAATTGCTTTTCCCTTCGCCGCATATAAGGAAAAAATATTTATCTTCTCAATCTCAAAATCATGAGCCGAGGGTCTATTGGAAACAGTCTATCTATCCTCACTCACAAGGTACGGCTAAGGTCTGCCTACACACTACCCTACCCAGACTCCACGGTGTGGGATAAGATTAGGTATGTTGTTGTTGTTGTTGTTGTTGCTTCTCAATCTCAAAAATCAATTTTCTCAAATAAGAGCCTTTTTTTACTAAGGTGAATTACAGTACCAGACCCCTAGTGTTAGATAATCCTTAATTATATAAAATAGAAATATTATGGAGCAAAACAGGCATTTATGATATTGAGGATTCATACAGTAGACCACATCGCGTAGTAGTTGTTGTTGCCGTGAATTACAGTATCAGATTATATAAGATTATTAGTAAAACTATGTAATGTTGAATCATTAGATCATTAGAGAAGTTTACCATTAGTGATAATGGCGCTAGTTTGTGGAGGAACTTTGAATTCCTCGGCAGCAAATTTGAGGACAGCTGTGAATGGAGCAGCTTCTGGAACGCTAAAACTGAAAAACAAAAAAGGTGAAAGAAAGAACAAAGAGAAAAGAGAAAATCAGAAATCAGAAATCAAAATAATACAGACACTTTGAAGGGCAATTTGGGATCGGAAGTAAGAGTGACTTTGAAGGAAACTTTTCCTCCACCACCACCAGCACCGCCGCCGCTCGCCATTTTTGCTCTCGGAGAAAGCGTTACGGGATTAGAGAATCGGGGATTTTACAGGCGTTGTAAATAAGCAAGTCCAGCACAGCGTACCACGTTGCTCTTTTGTTCTAACAAGGAAAACGGTATTAGTTTCACTTTGACACTTAGAAATTTAAGGGGTCGTTTCGTTATTCCAGAATTAATTATTTTAGGATTAGTTATTTTAGGATTAGTTATTCTAGGATTATATGAATAAAATAAAAATAATATTACAATTCTGAAATAATTGTTCTCGGGATTAGTAATTTTATCCACCAAAAGTGAGATAAACTCATCTCAAATTTAAACCGAAATTAATTATTGTATCTCTCACACAATAATAAATATCTTATATAGAAAAAATATATAAGATGCACCTCGAATTTATCCTGAAAAATCGATTTTTAGCTCAATCTTTATGGACATTTTTTTCCTATCCTATACTTATCCATGTTGGGTTTGTTATTAATAAATAATAATAAAAGAGGTGTGAATGGAAAATAGTGGGAAAAGAAATGGAGGGAGGTGAAATTTTGAATGAGTTCATTTCATTTATGCACTTTGTTCCTCATTGGTAGAAGAAAAAAAAATCTTTGTGTATATAAAGAGAAGCTCATCTTTTAGCTCTTAAAGAGCTAAGAAGAAGGCAAGCCTCGCGCCGTCGTCGTCGCTCGGCTCGGCTTCGGCTTCGGGCCGGCTTCGGCTTCGGCTTCGAAAAAGATTGATTGATTAATATTTTTGGACAAATTTTTTTTCAAATATTTAATTAATTAAATTAACTAAAGAAAATTCAATCCGAAATAACTCATGACCCGTGACCCGGTCAGGTCCGGCCCGTTTTTCTTTCCCGGATTATTTTAAATCTGTTTTATATTTCCCGCAATATTTTGAACAGCCATGGCTGTTCTGAAACAGTGTCACACCTGTTCCAACAGCTATGGCTGTTCTGAAAGGGTTCAAACCTCTTCAGAAACAGCACCAAGTTGGCTATAAATATACCTTCAAATCCCAGAATATTTATTTACGAAATTTTCTGATTATCTTCTTCTTCTTCTTCTGCACTAAAATTCCAGTGTGTTTTGCTGCCATCGAGTGGTTCGCTGATCATCGGCGTTTTTGTTACCACTCCGGTGAGTTAAATCGTTCTATCCTGGGAGGATATATTCCAGAA